TCTATCTATCTATCTATCTATCTATCTGTCTGTCTGTCTGTCTGTCTCTATGTCTGTCTGTACCTGTCTGTGTCTGTACCTGTCTGTCTGTCTGTCTGTCTCTCTGTCTGTCTTTCTGTCTGTCTGTGTCTGTACCTGTCTGTCTGTCTGTGTCTGTACCTACCTGTCTGTCTGTGTCTGTACCTGTCTGTCTGTCTGTACCTGTCTGTCTGTCTATCTGTCTGTCTGTCTGTGTCTGTACCTGTCTGTCTGTCTGTCTGTCTCTCTGTCTGTCTTTCTGTCTGTCTGTGTCTGTACCTGTCTGTCTGTCTGTGTCTGTACCTACCTGTCTGTCTGTGTCTGTACCTGTCTGTCTGTCTGTACCTGTCTGTCTGTCTATCTGTCTGTCTGTCTGTGTCTGTGCCTGTCTGTCTGTCTGTCTGTCTGTGTCTGTACCTGTCTGTGTGTCTGTCTGTCTGTCTGTACCTGTCTGTCTGTCTGTGTCTGTGTCTGTCTGTCGATGTCTGTCTGTCTGTCTGTGTCTGTACCTGTCTGTCTGTCTGTCTGTCTGTGTCTGTACCTGTCTGTGTGTCTGTCTGTCTGTCTGTCTGTCTGTCTGTGTCTGTACCTGTCTGTCTGTCTGTCTGTCTGTGTCTGTACCTGTCTGTGTGTCTGTCTGTCTGTCTGTACCTGTCTGTCTGTCTGTGTCTGTACCTACCTGTCTGTCTGTGTCTGTACCTGTCTGTCTGTCTGTACCTGTCTGTCTGTCTATCTGTCTGTCTGTCTGTGTCTGTACCTGTCTGTCTGTCTGTCTGTCTGTGTCTGTACCTGTCTGTCTGTCTGTACCTGTCTGTCTGTCTATCTGTCTGTCTGTCTGTGTCTGTACCTGTCTGTCTGTCTGTCTGTCTGTGTCTGTACCTGTCTGTGTGTCTGTCTGTCTGTCTGTCTGTCTGTCTGTGTCTGTACCTGTCTGTCTGTCTGTCTGTCTGTGTCTGTACCTGTCTGTGTGTCTGTCTGTCTGTCTGTACCTGTCTGTCTGTCTGTCTATCTGTCTGTCTGTCTGTGTCTGTGCCTGTCTGTCTGTCTGTCTGTCTGTGTCTGTACCTGTCTGTGTGTCTGTCTGTCTGTCTGTACCTGTCTGTCTGTCTGTGTCTGTACCTGTCTGTCTGTCTGTCTGTCTGTGTCTGTACCTGTCTGTGTGTCTGTCTGTCTGTCTGTACCTGTCTGTCTGTCTGTCTATCTGTCTGTCTGTCTGTGTCTGTGCCTGTCTGTCTGTCTGTCTGTCTGTGTCTGTACCTGTCTGTGTGTCTGTCTGTCTGTCTGTACCTGTCTGTCTGTCTGTGTCTGTACCTGTCTGTCTGTCTGTCTGTCTGTGTCTGTACCTGTCTGTGTGTCTGTCTGTCTGTCTGTACCTGTCTGTCTGTCTGTCTATCTGTCTGTCTGTCTGTGTCTGTGCCTGTCTGTCTGTCTGTCTGTCTGTGTCTGTACCTGTCTGTGTGTCTGTCTGTCTGTCTGTACCTGTCTGTCTGTCTGTGTCTGTACCTGTCTGTCTGTCTGTCTGTCTGTGTCTGTACCTGTCTGTGTGTCTGTCTGTCTGTCTGTACCTGTCTGTCTGTCTGTCTATCTGTCTGTCTGTCTGTGTCTGTGCCTGTCTGTCTGTCTGTCTGTCTGTGTCTGTACCTGTCTGTTATACTGTATATATATATACTGAGAATTGTAAGATTTGTGTGTTTGTACCGGTGTTGTAGATGTGCTTTAATGCCGCTTGATGTTTCGATTATGAATGCTGGATATGAGAAATGATAATCTTAGAATACTGTGCTTTTGCCTTTGCCGGCCCATTTGTCATATAGTTTATGCCTCAGTGCAATAATCATGTATGGTATCTACACCATCATGACGTGCTTTAAAATTATGTGCTCCCTCTACTTTTTCACCCACCTGTCTCTCTCCCTCTATCTTTTGCTTCTACCTTCTTTCTTTTCAAATGAAATTAGATATTTGGACCGGGGAGCATAAATCAGATGCGTGGACCTTTAGCTCGGCAGCGGGTGAATAAATCAGTGTTGGTGTGTGTACTGGGGCATGAAATGATTCTGTTAACATGTCATCTGTCCGGGCCGGCGTTCCCACCATCAGCGTGCTCTCAGACGGAGAGATTACGAGGGGACGTGGAGCGATCGGAGCCTGTCAGAACCAAATGTTTGACTCATGATGAAGGACATCAGAGGGAACTGAATAGCTGCTCATTCACAAGGCTGCACAATTCCCAACCTGAATACCATTATTGGAGCTCAAGCTAACACACTTTTCTCACTGATATACAGTACAATGACTCCTAGGGTTTTTAATTAAGGCTAAATCGGTTACATTTACTGGAAATCTTCAAAGCCTGAGCTTGCTGTGGTGTAAAGTGGACTGTATTTAATCCACTGCACCTAGAGGCAAAGGCTCATGTTAAGCCTTGACAGATTTTATTTTGATTCCATCATTAAGGTACGGTCGCATTAGTAATATTTCTGCAAAAAAAGTTAATTATCAACAATATAGAGCTATATTTGAAGCACAGCTCACATGGAAGTCACTTTCAAACCAAGCAGCTTTCTGTTGGTCAGCGCAGAAAACTTGCATGACAAACTTTAACATGAGTGAAATCGGCTTAATTGGGAAGTTGTTAACCCTCACGCAAAACTCCCAAATGCACAGATGAAATGACTGGACTTCGCATGCAAAATACTCCAGAGTGATTGCCTTTTACTATTACCCCAAAAATGCACGTACTATTAAAGTTAAAAGTACTTACAGAAATAATATATTTTGCAATATCATATTTAAGTACAAACTGAATGTAAGTTTTGTACGAATGTAGTTTTCAGACACGTAATTAATGTAATTTCATAATCACTTGTATTGTCTTTGAAATATGGTTACTAAGGATTGTAAGCATTAATGCTAAACTTTTACGTTAATGTTATTTCTGTCATAATAACGGAATAATGTATTTAAGTATAATTATAATTACACATTTGCAATGATGGCGTTGCAATTTAGCATATTTAAAATATATTAACTTAAAAATGTATATTAAATAACAAATGTAATATAATTAGGAATGCTAGTCAACACATCACAACAAGTGTACTTAGCACAACAAAAGATTAATAAAACAACACTTTAAAAGTAAAACTTTACATTTGACTATTACAAAGTGATCCTTTTAAAAGAGTGCTTAAGTGTGTTAAAGTGTACTTTCTTTAAGTGGCTTTATCTGTAAGTACAGTTTGTTTTCCTTTATTTATTTATTTTTTGGTTACACTTTAGTTTAAGGTGTCCTTGTTACAGTGTAATTATACATTTAAGTACTGAGTAATATTAATTAACTACATACTTTCTATATGGTTAGGGTTTGGCTCAGGGTTACTTGCATGTAATTATGCATAATTAATTTGTTATTATTATAGTAGGTACATGTGTAACAAGGGCACCTTAAAATAAAGTGTTACCTTTCTTATTTATTTATTTATTTATCTGTTTGTTTGTTTGTTTCACTTTTTACTTTTAAGATTCAAATTACACTACAATTGCCCATTCAATACAATTAAGTGCACTTTTTTTCACAATGTTAGTCATATGGATTTTGAATGAATGTTGAATGTTAATGGATAGCTTTCTCCACATATTATTACTTCCTGCCAGACCTATTAACTGACATAAACAGTGCTAAAAAAGCATAAAACAGCCTGGACGTGGACAACATGGAAATTCACATCAGTCACATTTTGTCTATTTTTACCACAGTGACAAAACAGTGAGAGTGTAGCCTGTATATGTATGGAAACTTACAGTAAAAAAGACAATATACTGTATCAACACTCTTTAATATTGTAATGTCCCGTTGCTATTTTCTTTTACGTTCTGTGTTTAGATGGTGGCAGGATTTTGCCTTCATTTCCACTTGTCTACAAATAATTTTATCAGTATGGCAAGCCTTGGGAGGTTGAGGAATTGTGGAGTCTTTTGTATGTGGCAGATTAGTATTGACAAAATGTCTGCCATGTCATTTATCATCCGAAGCCGGTGCGGCCACAGCGCTTGTGTTGGAGTCACTTGCTCAGCAATGGATGCTCTGCAGTGAATGGGTGCCGTCAGAATGAGAGTCCAAACAGCTGATAAAAACATCACAATAATCCACAAGTAATTAACATGACTCCAGTCCATCAGTTAACGTCTTAAAAAGCGAAAGGCTTTGTGCTTGTAAGAAATAAATCTATCATTAAAATGTTTCATTCCGTTCATACCGTGAAACTTCCTACCGTTGCTTCTGGCTAAAATACTAGTTCTCTATCCGTAATAATTCTTTCTCACGTCACAACACATTAATTGGTGGACTGGAGTCATGTTAATTACTTGTGGATTATTTTATCAACTGTTTGGACTTTGATTCTGACGGCACCCATTCACTGCAGTTGATCCATTGGTGAGCAAGTGATGTAGTGCTACATTTCTACAAATCTGTTCTGATAAAGAAGCAAACTCATCTACATTTGTCCTAAGGGTGAATACATTTTCAGCAAATGTTCATTTTTGGGGGAACTATTTATTTAACGCATACAAAATACTTTAAAATTAGACAACACACCATTTTTTTGGGTCCTGAAAATAGACTTAATTATGTTTACTCAAAGCATCATTTTTTTGATTTTGTTTTTCTGATTTTGGGTTTGCAGGGATCCCCATGCACGCCGCTGATGGTCACGGCGAGTGCATCTGATGCTTGGGGAGATCCTACACTGAAGATGCGCTCACGGAGACGGAATGTCCTCATTGCGAGGATATGAGTCTCTCCTCTCGGTGCTCGCGGGCAGTTTTCTTTCAGAAAGTGACCCCACCCCTCGCGCCCTCCCGTTTTCTTTCTCCCAGGAGCCAGCGAGGAAAAAACAGCAGGGCAGAGGACCTCGGCGCACGGAGACGAGCGATCTCACGCCGGCCCCGCCCCCGCGTGCCTTGCTCTCTCCTCAGAGAGAGGGTTCCCCCATCCTCTTCTCCCAGCCAGACCAGTATCCCTCCACGGCTGCGAGCGATCTGGTCTGGTTTGGTGGGAGCGAGTGTGACGCGGTTGATGACAGCTTGTCTTTGGCTGCCTCCAACACAGAGGAGCTGTCGGGCTCAATCAATGACCCCGCCCCCCCGCCGCCTACGGAGTACAGCGAGCCCAAGCCAGGCATGGATGGCGAGCTCATCCGCATCCTGTTAAAGGCTGTAGAGGAGCTGGGATTGGAGTGGACTCCACCGGAGGAGCCCAAAAGATGCCTCCCCTGGACGAGTCTGTGGCAGCGCATCTCTGCCCACCCACGGCTATCGGCTGGAAGGCGAATATCGCTCACCCATCCAAGCCATGCAGGACGACGTCAACCCTCGCCGGACGAGACTACGCGTCTGCTGGACAAGCGGCCTCGGCGCTTCATTCCATGGCGTTCTTACAGGTCTATCAGGCTAAACTCCTCCAGAGCATGGATGAGTCCGGCCCGGACCTAGCAGTTTTTAACCTGATAACACGCACCTGGACGCCGGTGCACTGAACGCTCTTTGCTTGCATGTGTCAATGCTTACGAATAGATTAAATGAAAAGGAACATAATTAACCATGACAAACTATATATCATTCTAAAAGTCTAAGCCTCAAGCATCGACGATAGATCACTGCTTTTCAATGGAAAGCATATAAGGAATGTATTTGCTAAATTTGTGTAAGCAGTACACATCAAAACGTGCATGATAAAAATGCAGTACGTACCAGATTCATCGTAATTACAAGTCATAAACGCATCCACTGCTGTAAATCCCGGTTTAGTTAGAAAGGCAAGGGTCCACTGAACAACATCCCATAGAGCACTTTTAGTCCAACGAAACAATAACATTGTAATATGGATGATTATTCCTTTGTTTACGTCTTATTTCTTCAGGGAGAGTTATTGTTTGTATCCGTTATGGAATAACTTACACAAAAAACTATGTCTTGGTAGTAAAAAACAACATGGTTTAGTAGAATACAGTGTCACAAACAGAATGAGACCATCCACTACTGCCCTACTGGTGACTAGGTTGTGTAACGATTCACTCGTTTTATCGATGCATCGATTACAAACCCTGACGATGCATATGCATCGATCTTGAAACATGACTTTTGAATCGTGAATCGTCGATTTCGGACAGTAATCGATATAAAATGCGAAGAATCGAATGAATTGCGATTTCTACAGCGATTCAATGCTTTCAAAATATATACACATTAAATTACTACAAGCACAAATTAATGGAGACCTTGAAGAGTGTCCGTGCCCTCGCATCTCTCCTTCACGCACTCCACTATTTACCGCCTGCAGTGACTTTTCACAGGATTGCGCTCGCGCTCAGTTCGTCTCACTGACACATTTGTTAAGCAGCTGATGTATGATCTCTCCTTAGTACTCATGACCAGTAGTGAGGTAGTTTTACTTTTCTGTAGGTTTTCAATGGCTCTCGGTCATACCAATGACATTACCTGAGCAGTCTATTTATTGCACGGACGGAGCAAAAGTTTAAGTGTCTAAAGCATACGCACAGTTCCATTGAATGATAAATGTGTTTTAACAATGTCGTTGAACTGAATGTACGAAGGAAACTGTTAAAATAACCACAGCATTAACAACAACCTTGAAATAAGAGCGCAAGGTTTATCTGATAATCAGATGCACGAGAGTAGTGTTTATTGCTATAGCAAACTATACAATTGCTATAGTGTTTTTTTTTTCAGAATCATCATTCGTCGATGGAGAGGAAAAGTTAAATACTCTAGCATTTTACTTTATGAAAATGAGATAAATAAGTTTTCGCACTGAAAGAAAAGTGATCTTGCGGTCAAATAACTTAAGACGTGCCAGGAAATGCCTAATATGGACAAAGGCATCTATCTCTGCAGCTAATCTGAAAAAAAGCAGAATGAAACGGTGAAACGTTAAGACAAAAACACAATAAATAAATACAATTTATGAATGATGCAGTGCTAATTGACATATCATTTATTAGAGTACAGAAACTATAAAGTATATTTTCTACCTTATTCTGTGCAGAGTAATTTAAATAATTGTTTAGATAAAACAATCATAAAATTGCCATTAGGAAAAAAATCTAGATTATAAATGATTTTTGTCCAGCCTTATGCTAAACTGCTTTAAATAACTTTTTTTCCACATCAATCTATACTCCATACACCATAATGGTAGAGCAAAAAAATGTTTTTTAACATCTTCGCAAATTTATTAAAAATAAAAAACTTAAGTTAAGACAAAAACACAATAAATAAATACAATTTATGAATGATGCAGTGCTAATTGACATATCATTTATTAGAGTACAGAAACTATAAAGTATATTTTCTACCTAAGTCTGTGCAGAAAATTGAAATAATTGTTTGTAGTATATAAAACAATCATAAAATTGCCATTAGGAAAAAAATATAGATTATAAATGATTGATTATTGTCCAGCCTTATGCTAAACTGCTTTAAATAACTTTTTTTCCACATCAATCTATACTCCATACACCATAATGGTAGAGCAAAAAAATGTTTTTTAACATCTTCGCAAATTTATTAAAAATAAAAAACTTAAATTATTCCATTGCGTAAGTATTCATAGCCTTATCTGGGACAGTTAAAATTTAGCTCAAGAGCATTCATATTGCTTGTAGATGTCACTACACTTTGAGTGAAGTTAACCTGTGGCAAATTCAATTGAATGGATATGATCTGGAAAGGCACACACATCTTAATAAAAGGTCTAACAGCTAATAATGCATATCAGAGCAAAAACCAAGCCCTGAGGTCAAAATAATTGCCTGTAGAGCTCAGAAACAGGTTTGTGTCAAGCCACATATCTGGGGAGGAGTTCAGAAAAAATTCTGCTTGATTGAAGGTTCACAGAAGCATGTAGTCTCCCTTAATGTTACCCTTAATGGAAGATGTTTGAAACAACCAGGACTCTTCCTAGAGCTGGCCTCCTGGCCAAACTGAGCAACTGATGGAGAAGGGCTTTGATTGGTGTGGTGACCAAGAACCTGATGGTCACTCTAGTTGAGCTCCATGATCATATGTGGAGATAGGAGAAAACTAAAGAAGGACAAACACCACTGCAACACTCCATCGATTAAATAATCATGTGAATGCACTTAAAGAATGCAGAATCGAATCGTTAATCGAATCGAATCGAATCGAATTGTGAATCGTTCTTAATTTGCAAAAATCGTCTTGAATCGAATCGAAAACCTATGACTCGTGAATCAAATCGATTCGCTGTCTACCCAAAGATTCACAGCCCTAGCTGTGATGCACCTGTCATCTGATGGGGGGCATAACTTAGCGATAGGCTTTTTGCACAAATATTTTTTTTCCCCCTATTCAACTGTTTTCATATACATGTGTGTGTGTGTGCTTTGTGGGGAATGTGGCTGTATCTGTATGATTATCTGTATGAACACACATCAGCGTTTGATTACTGACTGTATGACCAGCTATCAGTGTGAATGCTGTCTATATGAACGACCATAAGAGTGTGACTATTGACTATGTGGTTGGCCATCTGTATGATTAGCGTCTGTATGACTGGCCATCAGCATGTGATTACTGATTGTATAACCAGCAATCAGTGTGAATGCTGCATGTCTGGCATTCAGAGTATGTACTTGACATACAAAGCTAATTCTTTTATTTTTTTATTACTCAAAAAGTATTCTTATTGTATATTTCTAGTTCTCAAATAAATCACTTATACAATGTCTAAGATTCAGTCTAATATTTTATAACTGAAAAATTATGCAGTGGTATGTATAATGACTAAAATAGTTTGTAGAACCATTACATTTGTCAGGGTTACATTTGGTGGCTATTTTTCCGCAAAAAAGGGGTGGGGGGGACTAGACAGAGTCTCAGAAAAATGGTTGCAGGAATCTTCTTTTCATGGTATCTTCTTCAAATTTGAAATATAAACTCATGAGACATGTGACTTTCAACCCATTACTTTTCTGGATTTCATGTATTTGTATATGAAATAAAAAAAAACATTCAGTGTGGTACAATTTTTTCAAGACACTTCAGTGTCTATAACTTTTTATCTTTTTGAGCATTATCAACTCTGGATGATGGATAGTAAAGCCTAAAATGTCTTCTTTCCAAAGATAAATTGTGTGTGTAGCACACTGTTGTCAGGAACTGTTACCATTTTAAGTTAGGTAGGTCATTTTCAGCTGTGAGTCCCAAAATGGGGGGAGCATGTTAACAGGTTAAAGAGCTGCGCAGTGTGACCGACTTGGCTTTATGCGTCACCAAGACCACGGCCCAGGCGATCGGCAGGTCGATGGCCAGCTTAGAGGTGCTCGACCGCCGCCTATGGCAGACCTTATCGAAGATTAAGGATGTGGACAAAGTCCCCTTCCTGGACTTCCTGGTCTTCTCCTCTGGCCTCTTTGAACCTGTGGTTGAGGGATTCGCCGAGCGCTTCACTGCTGCACAGAAGTTTCATGCAGCTAACTTCCTTCCCAAGCGCGGAAGAGGAGGGCCTCTGTTGTGCCTCCAACCACCCCTTTCAGTTCTGTGTGCCGACGGCAGTGTGTTTGTGAACACTGGGCCCATTCAAAAAGCGCCCACACAACCTGCCACTGTTATAGTGTAAAAATAAAACATAAACATTTTCAAAAAAAGAGCATATTTCCTCTTCCACTTTCTACGAGTGTCAGGTCCCCACAAGGCGATCCTCCACCCGAATTAATCCAACCCCTTGCCACAAGGGCCAAGGCCTTGCAGGCCATCCCCGGAGTGTCAGACTGGGTTTTGGGGATAATAAAATTAGGTTACAGTCTTCAGTTCGCTCGAAGACCCCCACACTTCCGAGGCATGTTTCCCATCTTGGTTCAGAGCAAGGACGCTCAAGTCCTGCACTCCTAAGTGATGCATTTACTGGCGAAAGGAACCATAGAAATGGTTCCCCCAGGTCAGAGCGAGTCTTCCTCGTCCCCAAAAAGGGTGGCAGTCTTCGACCCACGGTGGGTGCCTGAAGACCTCCCCAAGAGTGTTTTAAATACAATATCCCAGGCTGGAGCACCATCCACGAGACACCTCTATGCCCTTAAATTGTCGATCTTCTCCGCCTGGTGCACAACCCGTGGCAAAGACCCAGCTTCATGCAACATATCTCTGATATTGTCCTTCCTACAAGAGCTGTTGGAAAAGGGCCGTTCCCCTTCCACTCTCAAAGTCTATGTAGCAGATATAGCAGCCTATCACGCTCCTATAGCAGGCCAATCGGTGGGTAGGAACAACCTGGTTGTTCGCTTCTTGAAGGGGTCTAGGAGGCTTAACACGCCTCGCCCCGCAACAGTCCCTACATGGGATCTGGAATTGCCTGGAATTCGGGACAAACGACTCTAAGGTCGTCCTCAAACCAAGGCTCGGG